CCAGTGCAATGATTTTCATGTTAAGATTAGAAATAATTTTCTTCATCTGAAAGCTATCACATCTCATTTGCATAATCCCTAAAACCTAAATAAATTTCTACACTTTTTTCATTAAAATTTGCATCTTCCGTTTTTACATTTTCAATTGACTGCCATTCCTTTGATAGGGTTATACACTGGTCCAATACACCAAAATGCACCTGTGCAGCCATATTTACAGGAATCAAGATGAAAATTTATATAAATATTCATGCACCCAACACACTGATATACAAAAGAAGTTGGATTTGTACATTTTGAGTCTTTTCAGGAAGGGGCCATAGCTCACAAAAAACAATCAAAAAAATTCTCTGGGTGTTTGATCAATTACTTGGTCACATTTTGACCACTCTACATAGAATTTGGTGAAAAGAGACCAAGATGCATAAAAAGGTTAATTTTATGATTTTTTTTCACAACTACTCAACCATATTTCAGCCAATGTACTTCAGATTTGGTACAAATATATCTTCTTCCAGATTATGAGCAGATTATTCTATGTTTTTCACACCTTTTCTGGTGTAGAGATTGGCAATGTTCGGGAATGCACCAAAGAACACAGAATATTAACATTTAAAAAGTTGGACAATGTCTTCCAACTATCAATTTTTCTGGCTTTTCAAGTATGAATAAGAACCATTCAAAATTCAGCTAAGCTCACTGATGTGTTTTCCATGGGAATAAAATTTAACTGGAAGAGAAATAATTATTCTTTATACAGAAAACAACACAATATGAAATGTCATTTTACAGATTAAAACTTTGGCTTTCTATTGGTTCTATTAAATATTGGAGAGAACTATTGACAATGTGTGAAAAAAATGTAATAAGTGAGCATTGTAAGAGATTGATTTTCTATTTAATAGCTGTAATCAAATACAATTGAAGGTAAAAAGATTTATATTTTGCCCGAGTAATAACATTATGATGAGCAATTTATATTCAATTTTGCATTTCCCAGAGGGATGGTAAATAAAGTAGAGAAGAGAGAAGACCTGGAGAGCAAATGTCAATTCTCATACTAGGGGGAAAGTAGTTTTTAATTTTGCCTGATAAAATTAAAACTTGTATAATATTAAAATAAGGATTATTAGCTATGTTTTGACATCACATTTATTCCTATATATTTTAATAATAAAGTAATTTCATTCAATTTTAAACGTAACTCAGTATTACCTTATGACACACGAGTTAATTGAAATAATTTATTTCTTGTGTTAACAAAAAACATACAATTTGTAATGTTTACTGAACTGTTGGGTTATAGTGAAATATTTTCAATATATCTGTGTTATCAAATTTTACTAGAGCTACTTTAGAAAGACAAGAAAAAAAAAGGAATAAAAATAAACTTACATTTCCTTTGTTCATTCCACGAGGATTACAAGCTTTTGGATCAATCTACAGAAAAAATGTAAAGAAAAAAAAATTTAAGATTTTTGAATCATATTTTTACACAAATTACACCAACCTCATAACCACCATAAAAAATTAGGAAATAAATATAAGTTATGCCTCTTTCATTCTGGAAAGAAAAACAAATTATAACACAAAAACATAAATGTTTACACTAAACAGCATAAATCTCATAACATTATAGATTTATTATATATTGTTAATACTTTTATCATATTGACCTTTCAGCCATGCTTGGCTAACAATACAAATGTTACAATGATGTGGCACATCTGCACTCATGTTACCATAGCATATAATATAAAACTACTCTTTAGTCTTTTCAAAGTGACCTGTCTTGGCTGTGTTTTAGTAGACTAGTATTTTGTAAAATACAGTCACATTTCAATTATTATACATTATATATGTAATCAGATTATTGCTATCTGGAAATTAGTTATTCCCCTAATTTTTCTTAAAACATAGAACAGTAAATAAAGAAGTAAAGCAAACAATTATTTTTTCTAGTTACGACCTTTGTACTTCGTTGCTGCGCCTTCTTAAATTTCACACGTGGAGGATACAAAACAATTTTTTTTATAGGTTTTTATATATATATACACACAGAGTTGAATATCCAAAAAAATCAAATTACTATAGACTAAATAGCTTAAATCTTATACCATTATACATTTATATATTATTTTTATTATATTGACCATTCAGCCGTTACATTCCGAGCTTCCAATTGGTTATTCATGTATATAATGGAGCATTTACAAAAAATTTAAAGAGGTGGGTGATGTGCCACTGTTTGATTTATTAGATGAGCAATATCTTAGCAAATAGAAAAGATAAGATGTTTTAATTTTATACTCTAACTTGTCAATATCTGTAATTTGAGTGTCTAATTTGTATGAAACTATACTTAGTATTTTGACTTCACAAACATCTAATTTGAATCAGTGTTGCATTCAACATAGCACGTGACACAAAAATCAATGTATCTGTTTTTTAATATTTGCTTTTAAATTAAGAAATTGAGTAATGTATAGTATTAAAATTTGAATTATAATTTGATACAAAACTCAGACAAATTCATGAAATAGTAGTTTAATATAATTTTGAATGTGAGTCAAACAAGATGACATAGCCTTTCACCCGTGACCCATCTCGAAAGGGTTAAAATCACTCACTTCATTGAAATTTCTACATACTCCAGTCACAATACTAAAATTGTTTTTATATTGGTAACAACGTCAGTTGTTCAGCACACTATGATATTATTTCCTATTTTGCACTTTAACCCTATGGCTACAGGTTTTCTTACAGGTAGAGGTCAGAGAGCATGTCAACACGTTTGTAAACTTACATTTAAAATGTTATTGAACTACTATTTATTAATGTGTCAAATAGTTTGGCATCAAATTGTAGATAATTCAAATTTTAGTATTATACATTAATTTCTTAATTTAAAAGTAAATATTAAAACAATTCCTAAATATCCATTTTTTGTGTCACATGGTATGTCGATTGCAGCTTTGGTTCAAATTAGATACTTGTGATATCCTTAGTCAAGTTTTTCAAATTAGAAACTCAAATTACTGCTATTGACAAGCTAGAATATAAAATAAGAACCTTCTATCATTTCTATTTACTAAGATATCATTATATTTAGCAAACCAAACAGTGGCCTCACCCACGTCTTCTATTTTTGGAAATGCTTGTTTACGTACACCCACTAAACTCAATCATGTGTCTATAACCAATTCAAAACTCAGAACCCCCCCCCCCCTATTTGATTTTCTCAGCCCTTGTTAAGTGTCTTTTTGTTTGTAAACTCAATGAGAAGTGGTAAGTTGAAATGGTGATTGAAAAATATTTTTAGCCCCAAATACAGCTAAGCTAGTAAGTCTGTTAAATTTTGTGGTAATGGTATATTAATTTATACATTTTTTTTAGATTTTCCATGTAGAAAATTTGACAAGGCTTAGCATACAAGGTACAGCAAGCAACTACAAACTTCACAAAAATCTTAAGTAATAGACATCATAATTTTCTATAATTTATTTACTGTTCCATGTTTTAAGAAAAATATGTAATTTAATGCAATATAACTGAAATGTGATTGTATTTCACAAAATACTCATACACTAGAACAAAGCTAACACAAGTGCACTAAGCAAAAGCCAGTTTTATGCAACTGGATTCAGTAACAAGATGCACATACACCATATGATTGCAACTTCTGTAATATTAGTCACATAGATGGCTGAAAGGTCAAACAGAAGATGGATAGGTGTATCATGTTACCAGATTTAAGCTATTTAGAATAAACATTCCTGGTTTTCTGTTAGAATTTGCCATCATTCTAGAACAAAAAAAAAGTAATTTATATCTAATTCCATTTTTTTTTTTATTGGTGGTTATGAAATCAGTCAGTTTGACCAAACCTGTACAGAGATAAGATGGATAGTTTTTCTAAAAGAAAAAAAAAATAGTTTGATAATTATCTGGAAGTTATAGAAATTTCACAAATGAAAAGAAAAATTGCACGAGGAAATCTCAAAAGATATTTTGTTTTATCCTTGTAATGTTCACTGATAATCAGCAAAATTTCATGAAGATATGCATACATTATATAAAGTTATAGTATGACTGCTCTCATGGTTACAAGCTGAGTGGATTCCACCCAGCCCTAGTCAGAGATAAACAAATTCTATTAGGTAAACTTAAACACTTTGAAATACTGATACTGTATAGTTATGTAACTATGAAAAGTAAATTATGCACTTAAAATAACTTACTAATTGATGAAGACAAGGATTAGTAACAACATTACATACCGTACGCCCATCTAACTCGTGTGGTCCACTAGCTAAGACAATGGAAACACAATTTGGGTCTTTAAAAGTCACAAATCCAAAACCTCTAGATCGGCCAGTTTCATTATTTTTCATAACAACACAGTCAACTACTTCACCAAACCTACTAAAATAAGTCTCAAGATTTTCTGTAAAAAAAGTAAATGTAAACAGTGTCAATACACCAATTAAGAATTAAACAACTCGTAGCTAGACAGAGTATATCAGTATGTTTAAAAAATTCATTTTAACAATTCTTTTGTCAAACTGATGTGGCTATCAATGGGTCCTGACAATGAACTAAAATTAATGTTTAAAAAAAATCAAATTATGTGCATTGAGAATACAAATACATGAATATTTACATTAAAAACAAACTGACAATAAAATAATCAACTAATTAATTTTAAATATAAAATAAAAATTCAAAATATGTATTTTAATATAATTATTATGATCAATACAATGTCCTGTGCCATTACTGTTCCATTTGGAAAAAAATCATAGCTCTGTACCAGTACTTAAACAACACTGTTTCCAATTAAACAAATTACTTGAATTGAGATAAAAAAAAATATTTTAATACTAAACATTTCAAGGCTTTTCTCCTTAGACCTAACATAAACATTACTTCCAAAACTTTTCTTGAGCTCTGAAATTGTTTTCTATAAGATTAGTATTGTTTATGATTGTGTCAAATCAGATATAAACTAGTTTTAATTAGTATGAAACAATTAATAATATTAGTAAAATCAAAAGTACCTTGAGTTGTCTCCCAGCTCAAACCACCAATAAAAAGTTTACTGCAAAAAAATTTAATTTCATAAATAAAATTATCTTAAACTCCAGAACTTGAATTTTTTTTTTTTACTAAAAAAACAATCAAGTCTAATCTAATAGATTGTATCTCATGACAAATTTCATACCACAGCACATCACATTTCTAACTAAACTAATTTACAAACACAATTAGTGGCAATTTTTGGGTATAGAAATTCTGGCAAAATGTTTTTGGTATCAAATTGTTGGTAATATGTAGATACAGAAAATCTATTATAGCAAACAAATGAGCTTAAGGGTTTTATTGACCATGAAAGGTAAAAAAAAATGATTTTACATTTTGAGTTTTTTTGTTTGAAATCATTATCTCTTCAAATAAGCTACATATAAATAGAAGCCATTTTAAAGATACAAGTAACATTTCTAATTTAATGGTAAGTTATATGATAATTAATAGCCAAGGAAATAATACTATCAGACTGCTTTGACCAAAGAATGTGCATCTGCTATTATGTAAAAAATCAAAGACCCACAATAACCAATTTCTAATATCTACATGTTCCCATCTGGGCCATATTTGAACACTAAGACCATAAATCACACCCACACCTCACCCAGTTCAGCCTTAACAGTAGCTCCAGATTCTCAAGAAGTTACAAATTACATCCTACTGGTTGTTATGTGAACTCATTCAGCTCCTAATAGCTTCAAAGTAACATCTACATTGTTTTTCACAGATCTTTATTAAAATATTTTTAAACATGTTTAATGTCATGACTATTTGTTACTGTTTTTAATATGTAATTAAACACTACATGAGGATACATCTGTTTTTGTATACTGGACTACATAATCAGAATTATCATCAGAACTCTTAGATAAGCATTTGTATTTATCTAGACATCTTAAAATATTCTATACTATATATCAATTAGCATACATTGAACTTATATCAGCTATTTTATACTGTTTTCTAAAATGAGCTGTTCTTAGTAATGTCTTCCATGATGCAGTATCTTTTGGTGTTACTAATTCTGTACTGTCATCTGTGCAGTGGATGCCACATGATGCTGTGATAATGTGGCAAGTTTAATTTTTTCTTTGAGGGACTTTCCTCTTACATAGTGAATTATGTACAAAAAATTGTCACATCAAACTTAAGAAAACTGCAATTTTGTGTTGGTATAAACAATATTTGTCACTTTGAGCATACCAGTTCTCTTGGAACTTGGTGAAAAATGCAAGAAAATAAAAGTTCTCAATATTGTATATCACAGAAAATGTAGGTCTATTTTCACAATGAAAAGGGATTGGGATCTGCTCACTAAGAAACACTGCTGACTGAAGGACTACAGAACATTGTCATTACACAGAACCAAGAAAACCTACAAGGCATCAAGCAACTACCTCCAGAGTTTATGATGTAGCATGTACTTTTAGTAACAAGGTACATAAATATGAGAAAAGAACAAAAGAAGGTTTAGTAAAATGTATAAACCTACATGCAGAATAAAGGTAGCTATGGAAAAGCAAAAATGCTATTTAGTCCAAGTTGAACAGAGAACTTCTTGTTGCAGAAAGGCATCATCACAGATCCTGTTATAAATCTTACACTTTTATGTATTCTCTACAATAAGGAAGTGAGGCACAAGATGAATACAGAAATGTTGAAGCCCTGACATTTATAAACCTTTATGACTTCATTTGAAAAATAAATTGTTTCAAAATTCTCAAGTTATGCTCTTGACAGAACTAACAAATAAAATGATGGCATGGATCAAGAAATAGAACTCGCACACAAGAAAAAAAAGAAAATACAAGTGAATTTAAGAGCAGTCTCTCCCTCTTGATACTTCAAACCACTATTCTTACTGGAAACAGCTCACATCAACAGTTGATCTAGCAAACAAACTTAGCCATTTCTTCTCTGGAACAAGACCTTATTTATGGTTCCACGATAGCAAGCAAAAACTCCAAAACACATTCTCTTATCATATGCTGCGAAAACATTCACAGCAAATGTGGAATTGATTCAGATGTTGAATTGTCTATCATGGAATATCTTACAGCCAGCTCATAGAAACTGATACTGGTCTTTGTCTGCAGAAAGTAGCCATCAACCCTGACACTGATGCTCCACTGCCCAATAACACCCTGCAATATGGTTGGGACAATATTGATTGATTGGAGGGAACTTTGACTGGAGGAGGTACATCACATTGTATCAATGGCACTGCTGTTCAGCAAGTGGTTCAAAGATCTCAGCATCCATAGCAAAGCCAACCTGAGACTCAAAGAACAGGACAAAGGAGCATAAATGTGATTGAGAATCCTGTCCAGCTCTAGAATGCAGGTGAAAAGATGAGACCACATAGACAAGTAAGAAGTCGAGTAAAAAGATATTACTGATGAAGCAAAAAATCTTTTGTACGATCTTGCCAGGCAGCATAACCAAGTCCAACAGCCTGCAAGTTATATGACTGGATTAAACATTCAAGTTCATAATGTAGAAGATAACTGAAAGAAACACTGAGTACTTGCCTACCATTAATATGCCAGCAACAGACATGTCAACAGTTTATGAAGTTATGGTCTCCTCTAAAAACATAATATTATTACAGAGACCATCCATTGTCTGTTTTAACCTAGCACTTTATACCAAGGCCACATCACCATTAAAATGTGGACATCCCATACCATTTGCACATTACTTTCAATTACTGTCAAGAGATTTGAAGATGCTGAAACAGTAGTAGAGGAATTTACTGGTGTCCTAGAAGACAAACAGTCTAAACTGAACCATCCTGACATCTCACGGCAAAGAATAAAAAAGGATAAAAATCACGTCTGTAATGGCGAGTTTTTTTGTAAACGGTTGGGTCAATCTATTTTAATCATAAGATCAAGAGCTGAGAAGCATTTCAACTGGTTAACTGCACTTGATGCAATCTGCAAATCTTGCTTGGTGTTATGTAAATAGAAGCTAAATATGAATTATTTAACATTATTAGTCTCAAAGTGGGTTCCTCGTCATCGAATACGTACTTTTTAAGTTTCACTCAATTTATCATGTTACTGTTACGTTCTTGTAAACAAACAAAAATAGAAGTACACGTATGCTTCATTATGATTTCAAATTTTAATTTGACTAATGCAACAAACACTGCTTTGGAATCATATAGCAAAGTCCTAGGTCTAGAACAGAAACAAATATAAATTTACAACCACGTATAAGCCTACGCCGACTCCCGGCATCCTTCACTTCCGTTTAATGTCGGCGTAGAACCGTTATAGTTTTTTTTAAGAAACCAATATAAAAATCGTATTACATCTTAATATTATATATTAGTAAGCCCCTCAATCTCCTATGAACTACTATTTTTTTTTTACACTCGTATTATTAATCACGTCTTTAAGTTTCGGTCTCCAACATATACAGGGTAAAATTAAGTCTGCTAGGTATTAGAAAACCATAATGTTAACTTTAAATCTAACATGGCGACATTCGCCAAACTACACTGACATAGGCCTACAAGTTAAAAAAAACTGTCTGGTAACGACTAGCAAAGTTGAATTAAACTCAGCCATTTACTTAAATAGCAAACACTTACCCTGCTTCTTCACCATCTGCCATAGTTTTAATTACGGAAAATTCAGTTGCGTTAAACTTAATGTTAACTCTGTACACTTAATCCTCACTTTCCCCTAGTCCTACCCAGAAACACAAACACTCTCAACACCTTTGTTCGAGGGAACTAACTTGCTCTTCGTGATTAAGATATAAAGCGTCGTCTACGGGGTTCACATTAGTGAAACAAGGTTAGTCTGAAAGTACAAAGCGTTGTGACATCTGGTGTATTTTCTTTTAAACATTACATAAATTTGAGAAATATGTTGATGCAAGTGATGGCATACTCACGTGATAGAATAACTTTTTTTTCTTTGTCTTGTCCAAGTTGAATGATCCGAGTTCATGTTCAGTTCTATTTCTTTTTTTATATTTTCATATTGAAAATAAATAAATGTTGAAATAATAAATAAGTAAATGTAGCAATACATGCACACACACATACACACATATATATTTCTGTAAATATTTAGTTTGTTTGTTTGTTTGTAATTAAGCACAAAGCTACACAATGGACTATCTGTGCTCTGCCCACCACGGGTATCGAAACCCGGATTCTAGCGTTGTAAGTCCGCAGACATTCCGCTGTACCACTGGGGGGCAAATATTTAGTTATTCATTAATTTTGGTATAAAATATCCTTCATAAAAATCCTGTTGTACAAAGCCTTTGCGAATCAAAACCTTTGAAGCAGAAATTGTTATCTATTATTGTTCCTAAAGAAAATAATCCACACTCGTACTGAAAAACTCAATACTTGTTGTTATGTTAAATGCTCCAAATAAAACTATTTCTTTACTCATACCTTATTTGGGCACTATTTCATACATAATTAATTAAGAATAATGACAGTAACATTTTTTTTTTCATTGGGCAATTTCTTAAATACTTGTTTAAAATTATGCAACCACAGTCCACGTAACGATAACATATTAGTTTGCTACACGCTACTGTCACTTGTACACAGTAGAAGACTAGTCCATAAATAAAGTTTTCACTTTCAGCAGAAATTCACTCACTAATGGAACTACGACTAACGTAAAAATAAAGTTATTTGTACAATTTCATGGTTAATCTGTTGAGGAACTAAAAATACGTGATAATTAACACCAATCTCAATACATCACTAACCTCTCAGTCGCTTAACAAACAGAAATTGAATCAACATTTCACTGATTCTCGTATTTATAGTGTATCTTTGTTTTTAGATATTTTGTAAGGTCTTTCGATCATTAACGTTCATGAAAATGTTAGGTGTTCTAGGAATACTTTTACAATCTTTCTAAATATAATGTCATCATCATGCTAGCAGCTCCCTCTAGCAAACAACTAAATTAAAAGATTGAAAATACAGTTTACAATACTGCCCCTTCTTGAACTGTGAAGTCCCTTGAACAATCCCAGTACACAAATAAAATTATACACTACTATTCATTCAAGAAGTCTTTTTGATGTTTACATCTTTCAAGGTCTATGGTATGTAGATGGGATAAATTCTTGTCCCTTGTCGTGAATATCTGTCCTGTTTCTGGGGGACTTTTACTAGGTAGGTGATCTCTTGAGAATAAAGGTTAAAAACCATTTTGATATTCAGAAAGCATCCAAAGTAGAGTCAGTCCCTGGGAATGTGAAAACATACTTTTTTGTAACTTCATTCATTTTCCGGTAGTCTATGAAAACGTTATGAATCCTCCTCCTTTGCACGTGCAGTAGGTAATGTCCAAGGACTACTACTCGGATTTATCACTCCTTGTTCCTTCATGGCTTTTATCTCATTCAAAATCTCAGCCTGTTTTGCAAGTGGGAGCCTTACAGCGAATTGACATATTGGGGCTACATCTCCACTATGAATCTTAGAAGATGTTTTAGTTGTTCAGCTGAAACCATGAACTCCACTGGTGAAAGTGTCTTGATATTCCGTGAGCAGGTTATGTGATCTCTGGTATTGATCCACTGTAAGATCTCCACAGCTCTGGTTTTGCAGCTCTTATAATTGATGTGGTAATCTGTCTTTATCTAAGGATTTGACATCATACTTTCAACACCTTTTCTCAAATGTGAATATTTCTGATGTTCTTTGATGAGGAATTGCTATTCGTACAACTTCACTTCTTGCAATGTTCTATGCAGATTTCACTCGTACTTTATAATTTCTTATGTTCATGACCCTAATAATGACATCTTTATTCTTCAGATCCATCATTAATTCTTCAGGATACAATGCAGTATTTCTTCTACTACATCTCTGTCACTAAAAGTAAATTTATTCATAATACCTTCTGGTATGAATATTTCATTTGTTTATGATGGAAGGTCGACCTATGGCAGAGGTGTAATTTTCAAGGGGACGGATGATAAGTCCTCTGCTCTTATTCAAGAGCAGAATAATGTCCTAGCTACAGAAACATATCCCCCTGACCTCTGATATAGTAATTGTTATGTAGTTTACAGGGATTTCCTGGTCATAGACTGTGTAGCTACTTAAAGCTAGCCTAACTTCACATCCATGTGTTTGCAAAACGTCAGGTCCCAACATACACCTGTTCTCGATGTCAACTGCCCACACAATATATAAGCCAATGTGGCTTTGCTCTAAAACAAACGAATCACAAACAAAGAAACTATTCTATGCCACTATGATTTTATAAACAATAACAAATGGAGATGACTATATAACAATTCCAGTACCTGTGTCCCCCGGTGAAACAGGGTAAGTCTACGGAGTTACAACTCTAAAAATAGAGGTTCGATTCCCCTCGGTGGACACAACAGACAGCCCGATGTGGCTTTGATATGAAAACAAACACACACCAATACGTATAGTGTACTTTAATTTGTAATTTGTTGTGAACTTTAACGAACGCTAAACATATCAGAAACGTTTGCACATTACTGTTTTTACATGTAAATTTTCTAGCATTTATGGTGAGTGTTGCCGAAAATCCAGGGTAGGTAACTTAGGGGCCGCCATGAGGCCTCCAATAGCCAGGAGCTCCATGGGACCGTAAATTATATAAAAGTAATTAATGGGGAACAAATAAATAGCAACAAAATCGTGTACTATATTTTGGTCAAATATCACACGTGGTTTCAGCACAAGTATATCTTGCAAAATATACTTAAAAAACAGTTTTTGGTTTGGAGGGAAGGGAGAGAGTCTTAAATCTACTCTCACCTAACTACCAATCACTTATTAAGTTTATTCCCGACAGTGAGCAACTTGTTTTAAAATCTTCTCACCCATCTGAAAATTCTGGAACTGCTTCTGTATTATATATTTCTATTTTGATATAAAGATGATACTGTAGTGATAAATTTTCGAAATTTCAGTATGCTTTTATCAGTTCAGTATTAATACATAAAATCATTCAAAGAAACACACCTAACATTTTGTGATTCTAGATCTGTTTGAGACCTAGTTCGTTCATTTGCAATTAACCATATTTTCTTTCAGGAAAGATAGCTTTTGATGTCTCAAAATAGAAAGCTGTATTTTCTGTTGGCAAATTAAGTAATGGCCCGGGTTTCCTCCGCTTGAGTCCTGATGCATGAAAATAATATGGTTGATGAGTGACGTGTGCAACATGGATTTGTGTGACGTTATCATAATTTTAGTATTAACAACCACATTCTCCTTTGTTTATCAGGTTTTTATTTAATAAATTTTTTATCAGACTTGTATTTTTGTTGGGATTTTAGTTAAGCCTTTTAGTTGAACCTTGCATGTAGCTCTTACTTGAAATGAACTTTTAGAATTCTCATAAGTTTTTCATTTAATTTATAGGGTGAGACTTAGTTTTGTTTTAAGTGTTTATTTTGTGGTTTATTTTTAGGTTAGATTTTATATTTTCCTGGACTGGCGAGAGAAAGCATAGGAAAGTTTCACTTCCTTTTTCTCTCACCAGTCCAAAACATTCACTACAGGCGCAATTGCCTCTGTTTTGTTTTGGTGTCTGTTGTTAATACCTGTGTTTGTAATTGTGTTCAAACAGTTAATACAGATTGTTGTGCACCTGCTATGTTTGTACTCTTTCTTCCTGACAAACTAAGTCAGAGTTCCTAGCGATAATTACATGCATACTTCGTAACTTGGTATCCTTCATACTTCTAGATTTTTAGTTATTAGCCTCCAAGTATTTGGGAATACTACACATCTGAAGAAAAGAGTGTACCCAAATACCATTTAAACTACGTGTATGAAATGAAACTAGAATTAAAAACTGGGAATAGATAATGGTGTTAAAGCACTCTATATCGAAGGGATGCTTAAACATCGAAAATATACTAAATGGGTGGAAAGGAAGTGAAACTAGGAGGGAGGAGGTTAAAATAGTGAAAAGGAGAATAAAAGTAAGAAAAACATTAAACAATTTAATAGAAAATGAAAGCAAAACGATGAGTGATAAGAACGAAAAGGGGTGAAAGTTTGTTTGTTTGTTTTTAATTATGCACAAAGCTACACAAGGGCTATCTGTGCTCTGCCCACCACGGGTATCGAAACCCGGTTTCTAGCGTTGTAAGTCCACAGACATACCGCTGTGCCACTGGGGGGCAGGGGTGAAAGAAATAAGAAAATAAGTGAAAATTGGAATGAAAAGAATTGAGTGGAAGCCTAAGATAGCAAAAAGGAGAATAAAGTCTGACAAAACATTAAAATGTATAAATCACAGCGCAAAAGACAGAGTGACTGAGACAAATAATGAGCAAAATCAGAAAAAGTTATTCTGAAATGTTATGTTACATTAACTTACCAAGTGCATCAGTCTATCACACATATCAATGACAAATAAAATAAAGCATGATAACATTAATGAGACAGTAAAAAGTAATTAGCTAAATTCATTTGCATATTTTTCTTTATTTTAAGTTAGTGTTAGTTGTAATATGTATATACAAGTAACCATGCTTTATCTAGTTTCTGTATCTGATGGTAATTTGAAAACTATTTAGTCCTACGTAGTATCAAGTCATAATATTATCTTGAAAATATTTTATTTTCACAATAATTATGGAATCGTAATTTACTCTAATTAATGTTGTGAGGCTGAGCTCTAAATTTAATATGTTCGAGTAAAACAGTTCAAATAATTGTAATTTCAAGTAGCCAACCTTATAATTAGCAGCAATGCCAAATATTTGTTTTGA